TTTTCTCAAAATTTCGGCAGAGTTTCGACAGTACTTGGTTTTTCTGTTATTTCTCTCTTTTTTATTTTTTTCCTCGATTTTTCAACTTTCCCGAGATTCAGAAACCGGTCAACATGCAGGTTTGAAACAAATATATGTACAGAGCAAGTAGGATGCATCAGGATGGTCCTTTCATTTCAGGTTGCTAGCCCTAGACGGACCCAACCCCTGTGTTGAGTCCCCTAAGTCAAATGCAGCATGATGCAAATAATCGTTCCTACTAGGGATCCGGAATGAAGTCACGTTATTCTATATTTAAAACCTGGGTCGGTGTTCTAGACTGTGTACCCGAGCGGACGATTCGAGTCGAGGAGGGGGCAACTTTCCGGGAACCAAAAGGCCATCCGCCTTAGTAACTTGTCCGGCCTCTTTCTTATTTCAAGGTATGACACTAACAGAATAGGGAGTCTCAACCAGTAAGCACATCCCTGGAGGTGAAGAGAGAAGGGTGTCGGCACAGTTTATATACAGTTCAGATAACATCAAAGCGGTAACATTTAGCACATTCAGCACAAAACATGTAGGAAAATCAGATACAACCAAATACAACAATTTATCTAAGCTCGAACTCTAAACCCCGAATAAGAGATTCTTGGTTCGTTCCCCAGCAAAGTCGCCAGAGCTGTCACACCTCCTTTTTACTACACCCTGCAAGAGTGTAAGGAGTTTTTCCAATTAAAGGACAATCAGAACGGGATTTGGTTATTAAAATTTCAGAGTCGCCACTTGGGAAATTAATAGTGTCCCAAGTCACCGGTTTTGAATTCCGAACCGAGGAAGATTTGACTCTGTATTACATTCCGCGCACCAGAAATCCGTGTAAGGAATTCTGTTAATCCGGGAGAAGGTGTTAGGCATTCCCGGGTTCCGTGGTTCTAGCACAGTCGCTTAACTGTTGTATTTGATTTTATCTGACTTTAATGCGTGCTAGCTTATATGCCTTTATTGAATTTTGAATCGCTTTTATTATAATTATATTTTTTTATTTTTATTTTATTTTATTTATTATTTATATTTTTTCTTAAAAGAGTTGCAACGTCGTGAAAATGTGTCTCGAACCATGTCGCAATAAATGCACCCATGGTTGTTGACACATCTCCACTCCGTTGAGATTTGGATTTGGGTCACATAAATGTGCACCCGAGTTTAGGGAGGTAATGTTAATTAAATCGCGCCTAAAGAGTCTAACGTATTATTATTTGGGGAAGGCCGTGAAGTTTACTAGACGGCCCTCCCAAATTTTAAGTATTTTAATAACCACTTATGGAGGTCCCCACAATTTATTTTATTTTGTTCGGCGAGACTCGTCTCATTTGTTTTAAAATCAAACTAAAGGCCATTACCATTATCTACTTCATTCGTCTCTAACAATCCTCATTGGTTAAGGCTCTGACTTTCAAGACCAAGTTCAAACATCAAATAAATATGCTGTGAGCTCAAACTCCCACAGCTACAGGCATTGGGACTGATGCTGTCCCAAAATCCGAACCCAACGACAGATATCTGTGAAGTCCACGGATCGAGTCCTCAGGGCGCCATTATGTTTAACTAGTTGCTTCAAGCTATTAATTCCCCAGGCCCAATTCAAGTCATCACTCGACCGCGACAGACCTGGGCTGCCTAATAATGCATCCAGGCCCAAATGGAAACCGACAGCCCAGTGGACGTAGAGGGAAACTCAAGAAACTGTGATGCAAAAGTCTGGGATCAAATCCCAACCTGAATGACTACAACAACTGGCTATGAAGCCAACGTCGAGCTCAAATCGCAGCCACGAAGGGGCGTTATGGGAAAATGTTACTCAAACTAGAAGACTAATTAATAATTATGATCAGAATTACTAACAGCTGATATGAATACTGCCATTCCAATTCAGGGATTCAACTTCTACTGCTATTCAACCAAATTAAACAATATTAATGATTGTCCAGTTCAGATGCTCAAGATGAAATTTCCAGGTAATGCAATAGCTTGACACATTTCCCAATTACACCTACTTGAAACACAAACTAAGCTAACAATCCACTAAACTACACCAAATAGACAATCACTAGTTCAAAAGGAGTTCAACAGTTTACATTACAGACTATCACGTCCGTATTAGTTGGCAACATTACTTAATTAAACAAGTCGGAACTCAAACCAACAAATTAAAACTACATCAATTGGCTGCAACTATAAAGGTTCCATCGTATTTGAATCTAAAATGAGCATTGATTTCACTCCAATTTTGTCATTACAACAGGGAGAGTTCGAACATGTACCTGGAAATGAAGCAAAATTAAAGAAAGAAGGAGTCAGCAGTGGCAAGCAAACAATCAGCAGTTGAAACCAATAGCATAGGATCAATTTTGGACTTAAAACAGCATCACAACAGCCCAGGAATGAATGACAGAGGAACAAAACTAACAAAATAATCAAAACAGACTTGATTGAACCCAAACTGACTCAAAATTAAACCCAGAAAAACTTCTGAAACCTCAACAGCCAGAAACACATCCTTATCTGAACTAGAAATTTGAATTAACAACTGAAACTCGAAACTAATCTAAGGAAAACTTCAATGGAACAATATTTTTGGAGTTTTTTGTGTTGTTTTTGGTTTTTAGAAGATTTAAGATCTAGAAGGAACTCTCACCCTCTCAGATTTCAAACTTTTGTTTTTTTTCTTTTGAGTTTTCCAGCTTTTTTTTTTCAAAAAAACCCACGAAACAAGGCAGTAGAGACTACCTTTTATAGGCAGAAATTAGGGTTCTTTCAGATTTTTTACTTTACATCTTCAGTCCCTCTTTTATTTCAGTTTGGTCCCTTTATTTGTGACTTGCCAAACAAGCAAGTCCCTCTATTATGCCAACATCTACATTAAAGTACCATTCTAGAAGGCCCTAGGATGCTCTTCTACCCACCAAATACCTATACTACCCTTACCCTTACTTTGAAATTACTATTCCTAAAGAACCTACCCTTTTCTATCCCTAAAATGCCCTTCTACTAGTCTGAAATTTACAGCCCAATGCTAACAACAACAACCCCTTACTCCTGTTAAAAAAACAACTGAAGTTAATCCTAATGAGTCTAAACCAGCTATAACCAATCAACACAACTAAAATCTAATCCTAACTCACCTAAATGCTTCAATTAGTACTATCATTAGACTGAAGTAAACATCGATTAAACAAAAGAAATGAACTAACGATTGACAAACAACACTGAAATTATAAAACTAACATCATGAACTGGTAAACACGGATTAAACACAAGATTGAGACTAAAAATAGAACATAATTGTGAACTGAATCACGACTAATTCCAATATAACAAGAGTTAACCAAGACANCTAACATTTAAGTGAAACGCAAGGATGGATTAATGTTACTTAAAATCAATACGGAAATTAGGCTACACTGATGGAAATCGAGCTTAGAAAGTTGGGGAGAAACTCACCGATGGAGAGAAAACTCCGGTCAGCCACTGTCGTCCGAATCTTTCAAAATTTTTGACACGCTACATCCCTAACCATGTGTTTTTCACAAGAGAACACATGGTTAAGGATATTACGGTTAAAAATCACAAAGATTTGGGGTTAGGGTTTTGGCTAGAAAATCTTAGATTTGAAATTCGAGCCGCTTCACCGAGATTCGAAGGAAGATGGTCATGGATTTGGGTTAAGGGAAGTCTGGGGACGGTGGGGTGTGATTTTGGGCCAGTTTGGACAAAGTAACGACTTGGACGGTAAATTTAAAATCAATATTCGACGGCCTTGGTTGTGATTCGAGGGAAACCAACGGTATGGTTGTAAAGAGGAGTTCATGGGGAATCTGTGGTGTAAGTTTGGGGGTGAATGGCGTATGTTGTGTTTCCCGCCGGCGAGGGGTTTGGTGGCGGCTTGGATTAGTGTTTGAGAAGAGAGGTAGGGTGAGGAAGACGAGGGACTGGGTTGGGCTTCTCCGACCATTTTAAATCAAGAACCTCGTTAGTTCCGAACCGTTGGATTGATGAGATCCGACGGTCCTGATTGGAGACCACGAAACGATGTCGTTTCGATTAGAAGGGGAAACGGACCGGGTTAGCATTTTTGGGCTCGAACTGGTCCGGATTTTTTTTGGTCTATGGAGAGTAATGAATTAGGCCAAACAATTTTGACCAAGAACAGCCCAGTTCTGGTTATTTGCCAAAGACCCTCCTTTCCCTTGTAATTTGTTTTATTTTCCTCATTCAATTATTTTCTCTCTTTATTTTGATTTCTCCCAATTAATTCCTCCTTGTTTTCCACCTCATTTTTGTTACTAATTTTCTGATTTATAAAGATTGCAAAAATAAAAAATTAAACTAAACTAATTGATGCCTAAAATTACTTTAAAACTATTTTGTGACAATTTCACAATTAAAACAATAAAAATGCTGAAGTGAACTATTTTTCTCATTTTCTTCATATCTTATTCTAAATTAATACTAAAATGGGAAATTTAATGCAAATGCAAATGTATTTTTTTCTTTTCATATGAATTATCATGCACAAATAAAATGCAACACTTACCGGAAAATGACACAAAATTCAACAAAAATTGTAAAATAACAAGGAAATTGTTTTATTTGAATTTTGAGAATAATTTGCTTAGGGAAAAAATCATGTGCTCACATTGACCACTTTGAATGGATCAGACCATTTTGATTTGATCTTGCCCGGAAACAATTTGAGCCTTGAGTTAAAGAGCAAAACCAAGTCACCCGACTTGAACTCTCTTTTCATGATCTTCTTGTCATGGACGAACTTCATCCTTTCTTTGTACACGGATGCGCTTTCATAAGCATGGAAACGGATTCCTCCATTTCCTTTAGTTGTGTTAACCTCAAATTTGAAGCCTCAGCCCAGTCCAAGTTCAACCTCTTTAACGCCCACATGGCCTTGTGCTCCAGTTCCCCGGGTAGATGACAAGATTTTCCGAAGACTAACCGATAAGGAGAAGTACCAATAGGAGTCTTGTACGTCGTTCGGTATGCCCACAATGTGTCATCTAGTTTCCTTGACCAGTCGGTCCTGTTTGCATTGACATTCTTTGCTAGAATGCTTTTGATCTCCCGGTTAGAAACCTCAACTTGACCACTTGATTGCGGATGATAAGGTGTGGCGACCTTGTGCTTGATTCCATATTTCTCAAGTAGCCCCGTGAAAGCCTTGTTACAGAAATGAGACCCCCCATCACTAAGAATGGCTCTAGGAGTGCCAAACCGAGTGAATATGTTTTTCTTCAAGAACGTGTCACACTCCTTGCGTCGTTGTTTGGTAGGGCAATCGCTTCAACCCATTTGGACACATAGTCCACAACCACCAAAATATATTTCATCCTGCAAGAGCTTACAAAGGGGCCCATGAAATCAATTCCCCATACGTTGAAGATTTCTGTCTCCATCACAAAGTGCATTGGCATTTCATGCCTCTTGGAGATTGAACCTTGTCTTTGGCATTGGTCACAAACCTTGACCATTTGATTGGAATCATGATAGATTGAAGTCCGATAGTAACCACATTCAAGAACCTTAGCCGCCGTTCGATTTCCTCCATGATGAACCCCAACCGGTGAGTCGTGGCATGCCTTTAGAATAGGCATAATCTCTTCTTCCGGAACACACCTTTTGATAAATATTGTCAGCACAAACACAGACAAGAATGGATCCTCCCAATAGTATTGCCAGCAGTCTCTCAAAAACTTCTTCTTTTGATAGGATTCCAATCCGTCCAGGATAAGGCCACTAACTAAATAGTTAGCAATATCGGCATACCAAGGAGCAAAAGTGCTTGGTAGTGCCAATATGTGTTCATCTGGGAATGCATCATTGATCTCAAGATCTACCTTTGGTCTCCCTGCCTCCTCAAGCCTTGATAAATGATCCGCCACTTGATTTTGAGTTCCCTTACGATCCTTGACTTCGAAGTCAAATTCTTGCAACAACAAGACCCATCAAATCAACCGAGGTTTTGCATCCTTCTTTTCCATGATATAGATGAGAGCAGCATGATCCCAACAAATAAGCCCGGAACTTCTCAAAGGCATAAACAATGGCAAGAAGTTCTTGCTCAGTAACCATGTAGTTCATTTATACCCCATTGAGATTCTTGCTTGCATAATAGACTGGTAGAGAAATTTGTGGTGATGTTGGCCAAGCATTGTTCTAATAGCTACACCACTGGCGTCACTCATGAGTTCGAAAGGAAGAGACCAATCGGGTGTGACAATAATAGGTGCCGTGGTGAGCCTTTGTTTCAATTTATCAAAGGCTTTGAGGCATTTCTCGTCAAACTCAAATTTGGCAAATTTCTCAAGGAGTTTGCACATAGGATTTGCAATCTTGGAGAAGTCCTTGATGAAGCGCCTATCGAGCCCGACATGCCCCAAGAAACTTCGAACACCTTTAACGAAAGTAGGTGAAGGAAGCTTAGAAATAATCTTGATCTTTGCTCGGTCAACCTCTATGCCACGCTTTGAAATTTTATGTCCCAACACGATGCTTTAATCCACCATGAAGTGACATTTCTCCTAATTGAGCACAAGGTTGGTCTCTTCACATCTCTTAAGCACTTGTCTAAGATTGTTAAGACAATGCTTAAAAGAATCGCCTACCACCGAGAAGTCATCCATGAAGACTTCTAGAAAATCCTCTACCATGTCAGAGAAAATAGACATCATGAATCATTGAAAAGTAGCCGGAGCATTGCATAAACCAAATGGCATCCGGATAAAAGCAAAAGTTCCATATGGGCAAGTGAATGTCGTCTTCTCTTGATCCTCCAGTTCTATGTTTATTTGGTTGTAGCCGGAATATCCATCAAGGAAACAATAAAATGACCTTCCCGCTAGCCGATCAAGCATTTGATAAATAAAAGGCATAGGGAAATGGTCTTTGCATGTGGCACTGTTGAGCTTCCGATAATCCATACACACCCTCCAACCGGTCACCGTTCTTGTTGGGATGAGCTCATTTTTCTCATTTTCGATTACGGTCATGCCTCCCTACACACATTGCACCGAGCTCACCCAAGAATTATCAGCAATAGGGTAGACTACCCCGACATCCAACCATTTGATGATTTCTTTCTTTACCACCTCTTGCATTGACGGGTTCAACCGTCGTTGATGTTCCACACTTGGTTTTGTTTCACTTTCCAATTGAATTTTGTGCTCACAAATTCCCGCGGGAATCCCACGGATGTCCTCAATTGTACATCCAGTGTCTTGCTTATGCTCCTTAAAGACTTCCAACAATTGTTCTACCTAACAAAGAAGAAATAATTACTGGTAAAGTATCATTTGATCCAAGAAATTTATACCTCAAGTGTGGTGGAAGTGGTTTGAGCTCTAGTTCTGGAGGTTCAATAATAGAAGGCTTTGCGGGTGGAGTGACTCTATTCTCCAAGTCGAGAGAAAGCTTTGACAGAGCATAAGTGTAGGACCTAAGCCCCTCCAATGAATTTACCGATTCCATTTACCCCTTTGTATCTTCACCATCAAAGTTCACAAAAATAGCCACCAATGCCTCACCGAGGCATTATTCTTCCATTTTCATTTCAATCGTATCCCCTACTTTATCGACAAAATCGATCACCAAAATGCTTTCATACTAATGCGGAAGTTTCATACCCTTGCTTGCTTGGAATGTAACCTCTTCATCATTCACCCGAAATTTGATCTCATTCCGTTCCGAATCCATTAGTGCTCTTCCAGTGGCAAGGAATGGTCTCCCCAAGATGATCGAGATCTCTTTCTCAACCGTGCAATCAAGGATTATGAAGTTGGCAGGTAAATGAAATTTTCCCACCTTCATAAGTACATCATCAACAATTCCCACCGGTCGTTTGATGGAACGATTGACCATTTGCAATCTCATACTTGTGGGCCTTGGCATACCTAATCTTGCTTTCTTGTAAATGGAAAGAGGCATCAAATTGATGCTAGCTCCATTATCACAAAGGGCTCTTGCAAAATCATGTGCCCCAATAGTATAAGGAATGGTGAAAGCTCTCGGGTCTTCTTTTTTTGTACGGTGGATGTTGCAATGATGGAACTAACCCGGTGAGTCACATTCACCACTTCATTTTTGGTGGTTTTCTTCTTGGTGATCAAATCTTTCAAATACTTAGCAAAACCCGGCATCTCTTGAAATGCTTCCACAAATGGAATATTCACCGATAATTTCTTGAGAATGTCGTAGAACTTTTCGAGTTTGCTATCATCAACCTTCCTAGCAAGTCTTTAAGGGAATTGAGGAGGAGGTCTAGGAATAGGTGGAAGAGTTTTTGGTGTCTGTTTTACCTTTTCCTTTACCTTTTCCCAGTTCTCTTTTTGCACTTGCACATCTTCTGAAATCTTCTCAATTTTGATAACACTTGGCTCTTCAACCTCAACCCCTTCCTCGAACTCTTCTACCTCAACCACTTGTTCACCCTCTCCTTGTAGTACCTTCCCACTCCGAGTAGTAATTGCTATGACATGAGAAGTTGGGCCACTCCCACTACCCTTTGGGTTCACAATTGTGTCACTAGGGAGTGTTCCCTTTTGTTTTGGTTTTTGTTCCCTAGAGAGGTCTCTCTTTTGCATCTCCAATTTTTGAATGGATTCAGTATGAGTGCCAACAAGCTCGGTCATGTTCTTTACAGAAGTGTCAAATTTTTCTTAATTTTGCAATACCCGTTCAAGCATACTTTCCAACTTAGACTCACTTGAGGAACCTTGATTCGAATATTGACCCTTTGGGGGAGCACAAGGGTTTGAACTCTGGTTTGAGAAGTTGTTTTTGTTGTTGTTCCAATTTCCTTGGTTCGAGCCACTTTGGTCGTTTCTCCATTGTTGGTGGCCTTGGCCTTGCGGGTTTGGCCTCCATTGATTTTATTGTCCTTGACCTTGGTATTGTTGCCTTTGATAGCCTACTTGAGAGTTGTTGACATAATTTGCTTCCTCAAAATCCTCATTTGATATGGGTTGCACATCCTCAACCACATTTACCTTCTTCGTTTGGCTTTCGGTGAACATCTTTATCAACACATTGACATTTGTAGCAAGCCCTACAATCACCTGATCTCTCTCTTGACTTTCCTTGATCATGTTGCTCAAGGAAGGAGAACCATATGTAATCCCACATGTGGTGTCCTCAGAATGCCATGCTTGATTATGCTTTGCCATTTTGTCAAGTATTTGTGTCACCCTTGCGAATGATTTGTCCATGAAAGATCCGTCAGCTGCATTCTTGGCTATAGATTGGTTCATACGATCCAAGCCCATATAGAATTTTTTCAACAAGATAGAATCCAGAAAACCATGGTTGGGAGACCTCACCAAATATAATTTGAAACGATCCCATGCCTCATGTAGATGTTCTCCCAGTACTTGCTTGAAGAAGAAGATTTTATCTCGGAGCTCAGACTTCTTACTTTGCGGGAACCATTTGGACAAGAATGCTCGGACAAGTTCGGGCCAAGAATGAATGGAGATTGGTGGCAGATTTTGAAGCCATTTCCTTGCATCCCAAGCTAGAGAGTACTTGAAGCATCTCAACCTTAGGGCATCATCAGAGACATTGTTCTGCTTATGCATTGCACACACACCCAAGAAGTTTCTAAGATGTTGTGTCGGATCATCATCAGTGGAATTCCTAAAAAACCCCTCCGCTTTGAGAATAAGGATTAAACCATGTTCCACCTTGAAAGTTGCAGCGCCAACGGCCGGAGGTACAATAGAATTTGTATCCTCAATGTACTCCTCAATGTCCGCAAAAGGATTTTCTTCCATTTCTGCCTCTAAGTCTTCAACATATTCAGACATGTTTTCCTATCAACACCAAGCAAAACAAGCAAAGTGTGATGCAGCAGAATAAGACGTAAAGTAAAGCACACATTACTTAGTAATTTCAAAATCGTATTCCTCGGCAACGACGCCAAAATTTGATACGCTCAAATTACACTTTAATAAATAGTGTAAGGCGGTCAGTGTCAAATATAATAACCCAATAAGGTTGGGGTCGAATCCCATAGGGAATATGTGTGAAAAGGTTGCTCGAATAGTGTGTTGCTCGACTAAAGTCGTAATCCTATCCAGTTAATGGTAACAAGAGTATGAATTTGAGTTTGGTTTGAAGTAATAGCTAATTGTAATATTGAGAATGTAAATAATTTGATTAAAGGAACCAAGGTTGTGTCCCCTTTAATGAAGTGTAATGCTATTGATGTTAATATGATATATTTCTAATGGAAGGTCCTCTTGATATGCAAATGATGTCTAAATGATTACCCAATATTTTCCAATAGTTGGGTAGTATTTCCTCTTTATGACTTTTCCAAACATAAAAGAGTTGCAATTAAGAACAATCAATATATGCCAAATAAAACCTACTTATTCATAAGCGATTCTATTAAACAAGGTTTAAAGCCATGAGTCTTTGATATTTACTTCTACCAAATTCTAACCCACTTTCCCAAGCAAAGCAAGAATTTAATGGCATTTGTTAATGTTTGCAACCACCAACAATAAATGAAGAATGAGAAGAAAATAAATATCAACCAACTATTATATATATATATATATATATATATATATATTCAATGTTAAATACCCATTAACATAACATCCATTCAGGGTCCACAACCTTAGTATTTAAAGTTAGCTACACATGCTAAAATACAAAAGGAAAAGAGTATTTAATGCCATAAAGCTTACACAGTGAAAGATTCTCGACCCAAAAGCTTCCAAAAGAGAGGAATATTAATATATTATATTGTAGCTTCAAAGTCAGACAAGATGAGTCCACAAAACCCCAATAAATCTATTTATAGAGGCCAAAATTCGGGACAGAAAACGGACATAAATGCCCTTTCAGGTCAAATATGCGACCGCATTTTTGTCGCATAACAGACATGCAGTCCGCATTCTCGTCAAGCCCATCGCACTTCAAAACCTTAGTTTCCAGGCCTCCACCGCATTGTGGGAATGCGACCGCATTTTGCGTCACATTTGCTTCCTTCAGTAGCCCTCATGTTTAGTCTGCGGTCCATTATGCGCCTCGCAAACACGTTATGCGATCGCAGAGTAGACCGCATTTTTGACGTTGAACTTTGTCCAAAAGACTGTTTTGGTTTGCGATCTTAGTGTGACATCTGCGGCTCGCATATGAGTTTTGCGATAGCATATCCACACTTGCGATGCTTTTTGGCTCTTTTCTTGTCTTTTTGTTGCTTTTTGAACTCCTTTTCATGCTCTTAGGTCTTTAAGCCTTACACACTGCAAAAACACTAAAATAACATAAGTACAAAAGGAAATTGCATTTAAAACAAGCTAAAATCTAAGTAATTAGTATCAAATGTGCCAAAATTCTCTGGCACATTAGTTTACCTGCAATGAAACAATACAAGCGTATTTTCTGCATAAATTTAAACATGATGCAAAATCCCGTTGGACTATGAATGTTGTCTTTGGATGGTTAGGATGACGTCTTTAGACTATGACATCCTGGGCCATAAAGCGTATGATGAATGATTCGCAGGCCATGAAATGACGCTCTCGGGCTATGAGGATGGTGCCTCTGAACCATGATGCCTTTGAATAATAATATGCAAAAGATCAAAAGAGATCCTCAGGACATGATATGGTGTTCTCGCGCTATGAAGATGGTTACTCCGAACGATGATTCCTTTGGATGAGTTGGCGATATTTCAGCCCATGAAAGATGCAGTGGTGTGATGCGGACAAGACAGAGCTTAGTCTTGCAAATCGAATGGCAGAGCTTAGCCCATAAGAAAAGTGAAATAAACGATACTTGAGATAGTGCTTAGTGTCGAAGGAAATTGGAGGCAGATCTTAGCCTCGGAAGGCAGAATGATAGCCTTATGCAAAGATGTGAATGCAGATGGAGGTAGAGCTTAACCTCGGAAGGCAGAATGGTAGCCTTTTGCAAGATGCAGATGGAGACAACATTTAGTCTTGGAAGGCAGAGTGGTAGCCTTATGCAATGCAAATGCAAATGGAGACAGCGTTTAGTCTCGAAAGGCAAAAAAGTAGCCTTATGCAGATTGGAAGGCAGAATAGTAGCCTTATGTAGAATGCAGATAGAGATATCGTTTAGTCTCGGAAGGCAGAAAGTTAGCCTTATGAAGATCGGAGGGTATAATAGTAGCCTTATGCAAGAATGCAGATAGAGACATCGTTTAGTCTCAGAAGGCAGAAAGGTAGCCTTATGCAGATTGGAAGGTAGAATAGTAGCCTTATGCAAGAATGCAGATGGAGACATCGTTTAGTCTCGGAAGGTAGAAAGATAGCCTTATGCAGATTGGAAGGCGGAATAGTAGCCTTATGCAAGAGTGCAGATGTAGACAACGTTTAGTCTCGGAAGGTAGAAAGATAGCCTTATGCAGATTGGAAGGCGGAATAGTAGCCTTATGCAAGAGTGCAGATGTAGACAACGTTTAGTCTCGGAAGGCAGAATGGTAGCCTTATGCAAAACGAAATAACGAATGATAGTAGAGTTTTCTTAGCTGATAGCAGATTGCGATATTGTGATTACTCAGAGCATTGTGACAGACAGAACATCACTGGTGTATGCGAATAGAAAATGTTGGTAAGTGCAACGGTTCTGAGAGTTGTATTCCTTAATAATGTTTGTCCCATGGGTGTATCGTATGTTTGATGATTTCTGTAATCTTAGTGCCTGCATCCAAAGAAAAATCATGAGTTTTGTAAGGGGGAAGGTCAGTTCGTATCCCCGCTGGCTTTGCTTGACTTGCTCGGCTTTAATCGGGTGATACTATTTGTATCATTGGGGTAGCATTGCTAAACAAAGCAGCTTCGATAATAAACATGCATGATTTTGTAAAAGTATGACATAAATGTATAATTAAAAATAGCTTCTAGATGAACTGATGATTGTGACGTGGTTTGAGACATTGCAACCTCTCTTGCTACGGAATTTTGAGGGCCCTCCTCAAAATTCTGCCCCAATTTAATGGGTTGATGTTTCTGACTGTTGGTTGCACAACGATCGACTGAAATTACTTCGGAATTTTGAGGATCCTCCTCAAAATTCTGCCCAGTTTCATTTTGGGAGGAAAAATGAAAATTTTATTGAATTATGACCGAACCCATAGGGCTGCCTACGTATCCCCTCTTAAACGGGAATCAGGTAAGGTGTAGTTCAATTTACATCATATAAGGGAAGCATACAAATTACACATAGTAACACTTAACTACATCTGAATTAATTGGCTTTGGCCAAACTTCTCCGTCCATTTCTACAAGTATGAGGGCTCCTCTTGTCAGAACCCGGTGAGCCATATATGGACTCTGCAAGTTGGGAGAGAACTTCCCTTTGGCTTTGTCTTAATGTAGAAAAATTTTCTTTAATACCAGCTGCCCTGGTGTGAACTGTCTTGGCTTGACTCTTTTGTTGAAGGCTCTGGACATTCTGTTCTGATAGAGTTAACCATGGCAAATTGCATTCATTCTCTTTCTGTCTATAAGAGCTAGTTGCTCATAACGACTTTTTACCCACTCCGTGTCGTCGAGTTCAACTTCTTGTATGATCTTTAGGGAAGGAATTTCTACCTCAGCAGGAATGACAACCCCTATACCATAAACCAACATATATGGGGTTGTCCTGGTTG